ATGAGCTGTATGCAGTATAAGTACTGCAGTATTATATGGAGTGTATGCAGTATAAGTACTGCAGTATTATATGAGCTGTATGCGCGAGCTATAGTAGCTGGCAGTAGTCTGGTCCTTCCTCTTTGACTTTGTAGGCTAGTGGTAAGGAGCCTGGCGACCCATGTACAGAGGGCTGAAGTCCTTGCTGCAGCGGTCACGGTATTGAATCCGGACCTGCGGGCTTTGCTGCGTGTCACGTGCTGCGTGCTACGGTAAGCGTACTGGACTCATTTCCGGTAACTTTGTCGGTGAATGGTTTGGTCGTTGTAAACTGTCAGTTAACGTAGAATATAAACTTAATTTACTCGTACAGTGGTTATTTACCCGTTAACGATAAACGTAGCTCGTTCACCTTAAACACTCGTAGCGTACTTTTTCTTTTAGCGACTTTTTCGCTATTTTGCAAAGTTTTCCACAACGCTAGTTTCAATAAGCGACTAAGCAGTAGCGATGGCTTATCCTCTCCTCTCTCGTCCTGCTCAGGTGTGCCAGATGTTTAGTTATTCTCTGCTCCTTTAGGGCGATAATGGTACATGTATTAAGTGTAGTTATTCACTGCGCTGGAGGCGAGGATTAGCAAGGTTAAGAGGCACGGCACCGACCGAGAGTATCATCAGCCACCATAGTAGCCAGCCACAGGTAGCCGGGTGCGGTCCGACGAAGTAGCTTCAGGTAGCGTCCTCCGGTAGATCCCGGTAGTTCTCCGGTAAGCGCGCCGGTAGATCCCGCGGTAGTTCCTCCGGTAGATCTCCGGTAGATCCCCGGTGAGGAGTTCCCCCGGTAGTTTTCCCGGTAGATCCCAGCCGGTAGTTCCTCGATAGTTCCGAGCAGCCGGGAAGGGACAGGGAGGCTGGGTGGACTGGAACGGAGGAGGCATAAAATGCCGCAAGCCACAGTTCACCCAAACCGTTCAGTTTCTTAATAGATTTTCCCCACTCAGCGAACACCCGCTGAGGAACAGACTTCTGGGTTATTGGCTTTCTATAGTCAGAACATGAAGTTAGTTGAGGGGGTTTGGTTAGCCAGCGGGCCAATAGTTAGAATGTCTCCCTGGGGGCCAGGAGCGGCGGATGTTGAATCATATTTAAAACTGCTGGCTAAAGATAAACGTAAATAAATAAGATTGTATTCACGGGGTGGCCGGTAATGACAAAACCGATTACGCCAATCGCGAGGTCACTAAGATTAATGTTGGAGTCGGTGTGTAATTTATGCAAAAACATGTCGGACACCGTTAGTCTTTCTCTGGGGAAAAAAAAAAAACCCCTGCCCAATGCCGACCAGTTGGATGACATGTATAGCCGCATGGTCATTCCACCGGCTGGCTGTCGAGGGGTGGGTCCAGAAAACGATTGGGCTTCATAAGATAACTGGCAAGCCTTTTTGGGGAAAGCCTGTCTGATTAGGAGAGACGCATCCATCCCACTTTGGATGGGGCTCTCTTATCCCAGTTGAATATTGGCGAAGTCTATTTCTAAATCCTGACAGTCCAGAGTTGGGACCAGAAGCGAGCTGCTGTCTAACACTTTCTCTGTGCTTCCACTTAGTACAGTCCCCACCCAAAACCCTCATAGAGCACTGTGTCTGTCCCCCGACACAGGAAATATTAAAAGAAATAAAATCAAGGAGGGGTTAAAACATGAAAATCTAATAAAATTAAAACTAACTCCTCTGTTAGCACAACATAAAAGGAATGAAATGTGGACTGGGTTAAATATCATTGGTCTCTGTCCTCTAAAGTGTTTTACGTGAATGAATTAATATCAGATTCATGTATTGATTTACTTTGCTTAATGAAACCTGGTTGGTCCCACGGAGGATGATGTTAGCTAAATGAATCACCCCCCAGTCATATTAATACTCACATCCCCCGACGGCACATTGCGAGGAGGGCGAGTTAGCACATTATGATTCGAGCGTTTTAATGCGACCCTAAACCAAAACTAATTATAATTCATTTGAAAGCCTGTTCTTATCTTACTCATCCAAACTGGAAAAACTCTGCAGGCCAGTTCTATTTGTTATAGTGGTACCGCCGCTCCTGCGACCGTACTCTGATTTTATTCTGAATTCTCAGATTTTTATCAAGTTTAGTCCTTAAATCAGATAAAAGTAATTATTGTAGTGATTTAATATTCAGTGGATGTTGACAATGACAGCCTTAGTAATGCATTTATCTCATTAATAGACTCAATTGCTTCTGTCAGGGAGGTGTAAATAAACCAAACTATTGTTTTAATCACACTCTTGACCTCGTTTATCATATGGCATTGATATTTGAACATTTGATAGTCTTTCCACATAATCCTTTCCTATCGACCCATATTTAATAACTTTTGATTTCTATTATTTAGATTTATAAAGCATTAGGCAAACTTCCTACAGCAGATGTCTATCTGAGTGCCTGTAGCTAAATTTCAAGGGAGGAGATTTCCTCAGTGTTCAATCCAATGCCGATGGTCTGAATATAACAGAGTCCTATCTTAACTTTTAGTCACTCCCAAATTGATAATCTTGTTAATTAGTGCTGCAGGCCTCTCTGCCCGATTCAACGTTAGAATTCTATCGGCCCTTAGAAAACAGAAAATAATAAACATAGTAAACTAGCGCCGTTGTCAACCATCAAACTCGCCAATTAAGCAAGAAACAAGGAAATCAGAAAGGAAAACTGGCGCGCTTTCGAAATTACTTAGGTGTCGCTTCGGATTTGGAAATGATCTTAAGAATTATAGAAAGGCCCTCCGTAATGCCAGAGGCAGCTATTACTCAGCACCTAATAGAAAAAATAAGAACAACCCTAGGTTCCCTCTTCAGCCACTGTACCAGGCTGACAGAGAGCCACAGCTCTATTGAGCCCATGCTATCCCCCATAAATTTAAGTAGCCAATGACTTTATGAACTTCTTATAAAAAATGTACTATTAGGAGCAGGAAAATTAGTCACCAAATACCCTTAATTAACTATTGCAGGCTCTCCAAGTACAGAAATTTTACCTTAATGCCACCTCAGATATATATTAGAATGGTTTTTCGGCTATCGCATCTTCATCATTTAACTTCAATAATTTCTTCATCGAAGCCATCAAACCTGTCTGTTAGATCCAATCCAACTAGCATTGCTTAAAGAAGTTAGCTACCCTTAATTCGCCACTTCTTTACTGGATACGATTAATCTTTCTTTATTGTCAGGGATATGTTACCACAGTCCTTTAAAGTAGCTGTAATTAAACCCCTTCTTTAAAAACCCACCCTCGACCCAGGGGTTTTTAGCCAACAGTAGACCGGATTTCTAACCTCCCCTCTTCTCTAAGATTCTAGAAAAAATAGGGTCGCCAAACAGTTGTGTGCTTTTTACATAGCCAATAATTTATATGAGGATTTTCAGTCAGGATTTTAGAGTTCATCACAGCACAGAGACAGCTCTGGTTAAAGTTAGTAATGACCTTTTGATTGCCTCGACGCAATGCGTCTTGCCTCTCTTACTCTGTATTATTTAGATCTTAGTGCTGCATTTGACACCATTGCACCATAATATTCTTTACAGAGACTTGAGCAACAAATTGGCTTAAAAGGAACCGCACTTAAACTGGTTCTTAGTCCTATTTTATCAGTTCGTTCACAGTTGTTGCACGTTAAGCGATGAATCTCAATAAATACTACCAGTTAATCATTGGGAGTTCCACAAGGTTCTGTACTTGGACCGAATGCCTATTTTTTTATAATCCTCCCTTTTAGGCAAATCTCTTAGGATTCACTCCAATTACTCCATTGATGCAAGATGATACGCAGTTATATCTATCAATCAGCCTGATGAAATTAATCAATTATCTAAATACAAACATGTCTTAAGACAATAAATCCTGAATGAGCTGCAATTTTCTGTGTTAAAACTCAGAGAAAAAAACCGCGAAATCTTATACTTGGCCCCAAAAAACCTCAGAGACTCACTTTCTAAAGATAAGCTACTCTTAGAGGCATTCCTGGCCTCTAGTGACCCACGTCAGGAATCTTGGGTATCTTTGATCAGACTTGTCATTAATTCCACATAGCAGTTCCAGGAATCTCACCATCATCATCATCATCACCATTACCATCATCATCATCACCATCATCACCATCATCATCCATCATCACCATCATCATCATCATCATCACCATCACATCATCATCATCATCATCACCATCATCATCATCATCATCATTCATCACCATCACCATCATCATCATCATCATCACCATCACCATCATCATCATCATCACCCATCATCACATCATCATCATCATCATCATCATCATCACCATCACCATCATCATCATCATCATCACCTTCATCATCACCATCATCACATCATCATCATCATCACCATCATCACCATCATCATCATCATCATCACCATCACCATCATCATCATCATCATCACATCATCATCATCATCACCATCATCATCATCATCACCATCATCAACCATCACCATCATCATCATCATCACCATCACCATCATCATCATCATCACCATCATCACCATCATCACCATTCATCACCATCATACATCATCACCATCACGATCATCATCCCACTCATCATCATCATCATCACTTCCTGTAGTTCTCAATAACAGCTGATGTGACGTCAACACAGCACAATGCCCCGCCCCCCCCAATATGTCTAAGAGCCCCAGAAACTGTGGCTCCGCCCCTGCTGACCTCACGCATACGATGGAGGTCAGAGGTCAGTGACACAGAGGTGGAGTCAACATGGGGGGGTCAATGTGTGTGTGTGTGTGTGTGTGGCAGCTGGTTGTTTCTCACACAGGAAACAAAGGAAGTGAAATTGAACTTATAATGTACTGTTACACATTATTATTATTATTGTTGTTATTATTGTTTACGTCTGTTATCACTGCTGTTATATCAGCTTTCTGAGATTAGTGGTATTTACAGGAATAAACATGTTTGTTTACGTTTGTTTTGAGAATATCAATATGGTGTAATAATGGTTGAAAGCTCAGAAATATAATAATAATAATAATAATAATAATAATAATAATAATAAATGTCTGTTTTTGTTCATATAAATGATTTATTATTGGCTCATGAGCATCATTAACATTATTGATCTGATCAGTTTACAGCGAAAATACATCGAGGAGAGCGGGAGGAGGGCAGCACCTTCATCCTCCTCATCCTCCTCATCCTCAGTGTGTGTGTGTGTCGCTGTGTGTGTGTGTGTGGGGTCGCTCTCGGCTCTGTCTCGCGCTGCTGTCGGACTGTGTTTCTGGTTTTCCTGCGGACTCTGACTGAAGGTAAAAACTCTTTTCTCTTCATTAAAATCCGTTTTTTTATAATGAGGTTTGGTGTGAAGCTTCAGTAGAAACTCGGTGAGGACTTTTATTGATTCTGCTGTGAGCTGAGTCAGTCTGACCGAATAAATCCGGATTTTAGTGGAAAATAAAAAACTCGGTTTAACGTATTTATGTTGAGACGTCAGAGTGCGTTTTCGTCTTTCAACCGTAAAAAAACATAAATGAAGAGTATTTAATTACGTTAATAACGGAGATAGTGAAACCTTTTAAGGGTTAAAATGTTTAAAATGTCTTATTTTCTGAATATTTCTGCACTTTGTTCTCTTCATCCAAACGTGGTTTATTCAGGATGTTTGTAGCTGATCAGAGATCAATTCCTGAATCTGAGGAATATCTCTGTGGTTTCATCTGAAAGTCACAATAAAATAATATATATTTTAGATAAAAACGTGTTTAAGTTGATTTTAGGGCAGTTTGTCGGAGCTGATCAGAGATCCGTTTAATAAGGAACTTCAGTCTGAGCTCCTGAGTCTGAGGAACATCTGAAAGTCTCAATAAACAATCAGATATTCCAGATAAAAACGTTTTGAAAAGCATCTTTTTCTGTGAATGTTTGATGAACTGGCTGTAGGGATCGTTTCTGTCCTCTGGAAGACACTTAAAGTATAATATATTTAATAATTCATATTCCACACTGAAACGAGCTGATTCATGATTTACTGGATCCCTTCGATCAATCAATCTGAAGAAGTGATCGACCGATTATCGGATCCAATATTTAACATATTTCTGATTATTTGTATTAGTTTTTTATCAGACTGCCGATAAAATTAATTAATTTAAAATGTGGCTGAACGTCCCACCCACAGAGCTCTCTGATTGGTTCGTCAGGAGGAACAGTACTTGAATATTAAAGATTAAAGATACAAATACCACAGTGTACCTAAAAGTAAATCGTTTATTTGATTTATATGTTGTATCAATAATGTGAAAAGGCTAAAATAAATGTAATAGAGTATAAAGTAGTACAAGTACTTGAGTAAATGTACTTTCTATCACCAGTTCGTCTACATTTGGAATCTTGATGACTAATAATCAATATCTATATCAATTATTAATGAATTAATGAGAAGTTCTTCAGTTGTTCTTCAAATTAAAATGTTTTATGGTCTGAGCTTTATTCTGAAAGTTTATCTGTTCGTATAAACTCACAGACTGAACTGATTCTGAGTGATCAATGAACTGATCAATAATCTGATCAGAAACCAGTTCATGCAGGTTTTCTTGGACCAGGTCTCTGACAAAAGTCTTGTCTCTTTGCAGGACCATGTCCCCCTCCAGCAGCAGGACTCTCTCTGCTCCTCTTCAGGGCTACTACCTGACATGAAGGACTGAAGTGTGAGGACGTGGCGCCCCCTGCTGGACTCCCACTGCTGCTGCAGGCCATGGCTGAGCCCAGCTACTCCGACCTGATCGCCAAACACTACAACTACACCGGCAAGTTTCGCAAGACGCAGCACGACTCGGGTCTGAAGGCCGACTCGGTGGTCTTCATCATCGTGTGCTGCTTCATCATCCTGGAGAACATCCTGGTCCTGACCACCATCTGGAGGACCAAGAAGTTCCACAAACCCATGTACTACTTCATTGGGAACCTGGCGCTGTCCGACCTGCTCGCCGGTGTCGTCTACACCGCCAACATCCTGCTGTCGGGCGCCAACACGTACAAGCTGACACCCACGCAGTGGTTCTTCAGGGAGGGCAGCATGTTCGTGGCGCTGGCGGCGTCTGTCTTCAGCCTGCTGGCAATCGCCATCGAGCGCCACCTCACCATGCTGAAGATGAAGCTGCACAACAACGGCAACACGTGCCGCGTCTTCCTGCTCATCAGCACCGTGTGGATGATCGCGGCAGCGCTGGGCGGCCTGCCGGTGATGGGCTGGAACTGCATCCAGAGCATGACGCAGTGCTCCACCGTGCTGCCGCTCTACCACAAGACCTACATCCTGTTCTGCACCACCGTCTTCAGCATCATCCTCATGGCTATTGTGGTGCTCTACGCCCGCATCTACGCACTGGTGCGCACACGCAGCCGCAAGCTCGTCTTCCGCAAGGTGTCCAACGGTCGCAACGCCGGCGCCAACATCAAGAGCTCGGAGAAGTCGATGGCGTTGCTGAAGACTGTCATCATCGTCCTGAGCTGCTTCATCGCCTGCTGGGCACCACTCTTCATCCTCCTGCTGCTGGACGCCGCCTGCGAGACGCTGAGCTGCCCGATCCTCTACAAGGCCGAGTGGTTCCTGGCACTCGCCGTCCTCAACTCCGCCATGAATCCACTTATCTACACGCTGACCAGCAATGAGATGCGCCGCGCGTTCCTCAAGACGCTGCTGTGCTGCACCGCTTGCATCCGGCCCAACGCTAAATTCACTGGGCCCATCGTGGGGGCGGAGTTCAGCCGCAGCAAGTCGGATAACTCCTCCCACCCCAACAAGGAAGAGGCGGAGCATTCGCCGAGGGAGACGACGACAGCAGCGTCCTCAGGGAACGCCGCCTCGTCGTCCTAAACGAGCCGTAGAGTGTCAGACGTAGAGTTTGTGTTTGTACAGGAGTGAGCGGCGCCTGGTGGCGGCGGCGTGGACCGATCAGCTGATCAGGACTCACAGCACTTATGGAGACTGGTTGAACTGGTTGAACTGGGACCAGTGAACCCTCAGATAGAGAGGGGCCTCACTTTGTAGGAAGCTCACACCTGTAACGCCTCCAACACACCTGCAGGACGGTCGACCTGCCAGAGTCCAGAGTCCTGATGCTCTCGACGGCGAATCATTGACGAGTTCTGATCAATAACAGCAGATCTGAGCTTCGTACAAAGTGTTATTGATCCTCGTAGAAGAAGAACTGTATACTGACCCTCTAAAAACAACTAGAACCTGTAGCTTAAACACACCAATATTTAAGAAGACAAATTAATTGATGGACGTTTGTTTTTCTTCCACTTCCTTAAAAACATTTCACACATGGACTCAGAGCTCAGGTGCTTCTCACATTAATTTTAAACATTAATATTAAACATCAATATTAAACATGAAGGAAAAGCAGCTGCAGTTGTTCTGTGTTTAAACTTTAACATCAAAGTTTCGTCAGCTGGTGGATGATAGTGAGATGTGGATTTTCCCGTTACTGAACAGTACCCTGAACACCACATAACCTTAATGGTACGTGTCCGTGGGGCGTTTTGGGACCCTCCTACAAACACTTCCTGGCTGCACCTGACTGGGCGAATGCTTTGTTCTTCCGTCTTCGCTTTAGAGCCACAACCAGTATCAGTGTGGACTGTATAGAGTTTTTTACATAAAATAGCCTCAACCTCAACTTTATGCAAATGAGGAACAGCCAACGTGACGCTCTGTCTCTCGAATCGCACTGTGGTGGTACCAGAATGCATTGCATCACTGCTCACATAGACAATGAATGGAAGGTGTGGAAATGACTGATCCTGTGAACACATAATTCTTTTTATCCTTTTTAATGAGGACAATTTCAGTGCGGTTTTATTAGCATTAAGCTAACTGTGTGTTTACACCATCCACAGAAGATGTCTGTCTCCATTCGGAGCCAGACTCTGTGCAGTAGCGATTGGGCTGGCGCCACCGTATCGAGGTCCCGTCCATATGCCGAGCAGGGCTCAGCTGTCAATCATGACATAAAACGCTCTTTTTATATCTTCTTTTGATACCTAATTAAAACCAAACTGATGATAAAAATGATAAAGAACAGCAGTTCAGGGCACCGAGGGGGAGAATTTTTAGAGTAGAGAGAGTCGATACTGCAAGTCAGCACGAGGGGGAGATACGAGAGAAGGAGTCTTACTAACTTTGGCCAGTCAGCACCAGTGGGGTAGAGAGAGATGAGAGAGCTGTTCGCTATACTGGCAGTCCAGCCACCAGGGGGAATGATGAGAGAGGGAGAAGAGGAGAGTCTATATGCAGTCCAGCCCCAGGGGGAGATAGAGAGAGAGAGAGTCTATACTGCAGTCAGCCACCAGGGGGAGATAGAGAGAAGGCGTTCACTCTCTGCAGCAACATTAATTAATAACAACAATATTATTGTTGTTATTAATTCACCAGACTCCAGTCAAAAACTCACCAATATTAATAGTAATGAAAAGAGTGTGTCTGTGTGTATGTGTCTGT